CCGGCCTGACGCGCCGCTGTCTCCGCAGTGAAGGAGGAGGGCGACCGAGAGATTTCCAGCTCCCGGGACAGCCCCCCGGTGCGCCTGAAGAAGCCACGCAAGGCGCGCACGGCCTTCACCGACCATCAGCTGGCGCAGCTGGAGCGCAGCTTCGAGCGGCAGAAGTACCTGAGTGTGCAGGACCGCATGGAGCTGGCGGCCTCGCTCAACCTCACCGACACACAGGTCAAGACCTGGTACCAGAACCGCAGGTGAGGCCCCACTGCGCCGCGGTGGAAACCCGGGCAAGGGTGCTCGCTCCTTCCCTTGCACCTCCTGGAGGGGACCCAGAGTCCACAGCCTGGCACCAAGGAAGGGCCCCTGCGACTCCCTAGTTCTGCAAAAGTGGGGAAACTGAGGGGCAAAGTCCTAGACGAAAGTCCCACAGTAGGGACAGCAAGGGGCTAGACTTGGCCTCCGGACTGTGGCCAGGCAGGCACGCAGGCACGTGGGGTTGGAGCTTGGCCCAGCTCCCTGGGATGGGGTGACTGGGAAACTGGTGTTGGGGTGCTGATCTCGAACCTGTTCCCTAACCTTCCAGAAATCACCTGTGAGGTTTAGACATGAGACACACACTTAACCCACATGACACATGGACACAGCGGCAAGGCTCCAGGACACAGATGTACCACAGTCACATCCTTAACAGAGGGAAGCAGGAATGGTGCTTCCCATAAACAAGCTTCGGAACATGCAGCCCCATTAATAATAAATACCGATCACTGCTCCGGGCATCAATAATTAAGGCCCCGTTGCAGTAATTACACAATTATGATGACGATGAATAATTCAGGGAGGGAACCAGGCGGGTGTGGCTGGGCCCACCTCACCCTGGCCAGGGCCAGGCTGGCCTGCTTGGCCTCGCCTGCCTGCAAGTGAGCCCAGGGCTCCAGGCCTGGCTTTCCTGAATCTTGGGCCAGCGTGGGAGCCGGACAGGAAGCAGGGTTTGCTGCAGGCCTCACACCAGGGTGGCCAGTGCTGTCTGGGGGAGCTCAGGCTGTGCTCTGGGCACCGGGCCTCTGGGTGCCTCCTCCTGCCCTCTTGTGTCTGCAGAGATGGGTTCCAGGTTACCTCGAACTGCCTGACTCTGCCTAGCAGCCAGGCCCTGCCTCCTCTGCCACCCTCTCCTGGGCCTTCATAGGTCTTCCCAGGAGACACAGACACGGGGGGGGGGGGG